AATGGTCTGTCAGTTATTCTAGGCCTTAGCCAAAGTTGGTTGCTTCAACATTGCAAATGAGACGTTGGGTGATTGCCCAGGTAGCCAGTTGTCTCTGTCATTTGTTGCACATTTTGGAAGTTGCTTGATCCTACTTACTCAAGTAATATTATTTCCCTTCTTGGATCTTCGATGGGGTTGAAGACTAGATAATTATAGTTAATTTCCTCTCATGACTTGGCCAAGTTATTTATTATACAAGACTTAAGCTAGTTAGAATAGAATATTTATATATAATTTTGTATTAGGCTTAGAACTCTCTTATTTAAACAAAAGGGGAAGGTGCTATAGGAAGACCTGCAGCTTGTAACTACCCGCCTACTGGGGCGTGGCCTCTTATACTATATACATCCATGAAAAATCTGGGTCTGTCCCTTTTTTCCTTCGCCTTGCTCCTTTCTGCTGGCTACTCATTTTAGATGGCATGATCCAACTGGTCAAGCAGAGGATTCTGATTTGTGAGTTTACCGCTAAATAAATATCTATTTCTCAAGTCTGAGCAAGTGTGGAATTTCTTTTAAGCATCTGATCACGGATATTTATGGCTTTCTTTCTTCTGTTATTATGAAAAATTCATGAAATCGTTACCTCATTGGAACATGGAATATGTGATGGAGGAAGGTCATTGGCTAATAAAGGAACTGCCTTGGCCCATTTTATTGGTTAGAGGATAGGTGGGAGGAGTAAACAGAACAGGACACTGGGAGGAAGAGGAAGTGAGCTCAGTCTCAACAGCTCTCCTCTCGGGAGCAGACGCCTGAGAGAGACGCCATGCCCCGCTCCCGGGATGAAGCTCCGACCCAGGATGGACATAGGCTAGAATCTTCCTGGTAAGCGCACCTTGGGGTGCTATACACAGATGAGTAGAAATGGGCTAAATCAGTATGTGAGAATTAGCCTAGAAGAGAATGGGCCAAAGCAGTGATTAAAAGAATACAGTGTCCGTGTAATTATTTCGGGTAAAGCTAGCCGTGCGGGCGGCCGGGTGCCTGGGACGCAGCCCACTGCTCTTATTTCAACAAATATGGAGTGACCTAAATTTATGTTTGAATGTCATGGTAACTCATATTTGGCTCTGTGATAAGCTATATTTTATCACTTTTGATGATCATGTTCTTTGGGGTTGACAACATACTACTTAATGATTATATGTGTGATTGTCATCATCATATCAAATAATTTAATAATGTAAGAACACAGAACCAACCAATGCCCTTTATATAAGTGTTTGGTTCTTGATAACAAGGGCCAAAACATGCCAGGCATGGTGGTACATGCCTTTAATCCCAGCACTTAGAAAGCAGAGGCAGGCTGATCTTTGTGAGTTCCAAGCAAGCCAGAGCTATACAGTGAGACCTTGCCAGAGAAAAACAAACAAACAAACAAACAAACAAACCATAAAGAACTAGAAGCAAACCAGAACAACAATTAGGAATTGTGAAATGGAAGTTGTTAATGGATGTATGGGATAGTAATTTATATGTGGATCCTACCACTATTTAGGTATCCAAGGTCATTATCTGACCACTAACATTGTCTATTTCATCAACTTCCAATTCACACACTAACCCCTGTTGATTTTGCTGCCCATGCAAGTTACTTATTTGTATCTTTCCTACTTTGACAGATTTAGTAGTCTTCAAACTTGTCTCTGCCTTCAGCTTTGCTTCCCTGGTTTTTCGATAAGGCATCGGCCCTAAGTGTATTTGATGAGAAAGTACACATTTGAAATTTTCTAAGACATGAAGGAAGTCATTCAATGCAGAGTGATTATATGTAATTTGTGTGTGAACTGTTTTAAGAAGGATATGAGAAGCAGCAACTTGTTCTGAGACTGGAGGTAGCTTTCTGGTGAAGAAGTGATTAACCAGAGATCGGTGGAAGGCAGGGACTGTCAGATTACAATGGCTTTTGATAAGGTGGTTGAGGAAAGCAGTTCAGTGGCAGAGAAGTGCCTACTGGCCATGTGTACAGCCCTGAATTCTATTGCTAACATCAGACAGACCCAAGCTGTGAAAAGGGTAAGATACAAAAGGAGCTAATGAATACAGTTACAAAACATTGTTATAAGATATCCTTATAAAAGGGCACATTAGAAATGCATATTTAAAATTATTTTCTTAAGAGTTCTTGAAATGTGTCTTTTTGCTCTAGAGGTTTGTTTGTTTTTATTCATACCGAGTTCACATGAAATAAGTACTAACATTTTGCTACTTTTTTTTTCCTGACAGCGTTTCTCTGTGTAACAGTCCTGGCTGTTCTGAACTTGCTCTGTAGACCATGTTGGCCTCAAACTCAGAGATAAGTCTGCCTCTTGAGTGCTGGGAATAAAGATATGTGCCACTATAGCCCAGGCAATTTTGTTACTTTTTGATGGTTTAAATTTCTGTCTTTCCATAACAATTTATCTAAAAAAACTTTAAAAATGAATAATTTCAATTGCATCCTTCAACTTAAACAAGTATGGGCAATTGGTGGGAATTTTCAAAACATACACAATCCAGTTCTAGACCCTAAAAACTCTGGAGTCTTTTATAGGTTGTCCTGCTTTTTTTTTTTTTTAATTTAATCAATTTTGCCACATCCTTGTGCCCTCAGGCTTCTGAGTGTTAAATGGTGTATCCATGATAGTCAGTGCTGATCACTGAGCTGCAATCCTAGTTCTGATTCCTTTTAGATAAGGAATCAAAGAGCCAAAGAAGCTGTCACAAATTAGAGAAAGCACTACAATTTTCCCTTGGTGATTTGATGAATCCTCTCCCAGGAAATCTGTATTTGAAAGAATGCTAGGTGGGGAACAAGTATGGTGGTGAAGGATCCTGTCTGCTTTGCTTTACCTGGTAGACTTTGTTAAGGAAAACTTTTGAAAAGAAGCCACATCTGGTGGTGCAGGAAAACTGAAAGGGTTCTGCGTCTAGAGAGACTGATTAGGATTTCAGTACTGAGGAGACTGGAACATTGCAGATCCAGAGGCTAATTCTCTCATGTTGGGCTAAATTCTGGCTCTCCAAAGATGCCATTCCTTGCAACAACTCTCTTGTGTTGGAATCAATATCTTGTGACAATAGATAAAAATAAAAAGCTTTTAGTATTTATTAACTTATCAGGCAATTAGCTTCAACCAACCCAAAAGCTAAGAATGCCATCAGATAGCACCCTGAGCTTAGAGAAAGCCTTCCCCAATCTTGATATACCGGCCTCTTTGATGTACCCACCAACATATTTTAACTTGTTTTGACTTATCATTTATTTTTAATGTGCATTTGGTGTTTGGCCTGTTCGCATGCCTATGTGAGGGAGTTGGGAACTAGAGTTACAGACAGTTGTGAGCCATGTGGGTGCCGGGGTTCAAACCTGTGGCCTCTGGAAGAACAGCCACTTCTTTTAACCTATGAGCCATCTCTCTAGCCCTTTGACTTTTATTCTGTAAAACTATAAAAACATGCTTCTATTTTGGAAGATGGGATTTGGGTAACCTAAGACTGCATTCCTTGGCCCTGGGTCACTCAAAATGGCTCCAGAATAAACCAACCATTTCTTATTCCCTTTTAAGATGAGAGTTACGGTTTTCACGTTAACAAACACTTTAAAATTATTTTTATTCACGTGTGTGTTTCTATGTGAGTGTATGTCACATGTGTGCAGGGTCCGGTGGATGCCTGTGCAGGGTGTTGGAGCTCCTGTAGCTAGAGGTACAGGTGACTGTGAGCAGCATTGCATGGCTGTTGGGAACCGAACTGGTTAGCTGGAGACAGTATGTGCTCTGACTGCTAAGCCATCTCTCCAGACTCAACACAGATTTTTGATCGTTTGAAGTTTGTATACAAGTCTGAGTCGATGTTTGTTTTCGTTATCTATTGTATGAACCCCATTTCCTGAAGCGAGCATATGTGACATCTACATAAGTGTCCCTTACACACTTTCGTTTCTCTTTTTCCCTGTTACAAGTCCTACAAGCCATGCCACTGAGCTATGAACCCCAGCTCTCTCTTTTGTTATTTATAAGCTTTTGATAAATACTTTTCCAATATGTATGAGGTTTTGTTCCAGAGCCCAAAGCATGATGTTTAAATGTTGATGTGGTCCAGCTGGGTCTATCACCACTTTAAACACCTGTCTTATGAAGACATCTGGATTATAAGCAAGATCAAGAATGGGCAACCTTGAATTTTTATAGTACGTTTTCCAATGTGCATTTATTTATTAAATTTTATTCATACCACAACCACGTGAATAATGAAATTATTACCATCAAAACCACGGTTGAAAATCTGAAGAAAAGTCAAGAGAGGAGGGGACCCACGCTGGGTAACCCACAGCATATGCTTGTAATTTCAGTCAGCCTGGTCTACATCAAGACTTTGCAAAAAAAAAAAAAAAAAAAAAAAACAGAGAAGGGGAGGCAGGGAATACAAAAGAATGAATGAATGAAGAATAGATTTGGGATTAGGTAACTGTGATTTTCTTTGTAAAAAAGAGGATGAAGTCCAAGGTGGCATTTAGAGCTACCTGAAAGTTCAGTACTGTGGGCTGCTCTGATGAGGTGTGAGCTCTCACTGAGAGGGTGTGAAGACACCGTCCTCCCTAGGCCTCCAGAGGGGCCTGGAGAGCTTCCTCAGGCAGATGACCTCCCGAGGGACTCGGTCTGGGGTGCAGCGCAGAGGTGAGGGATGCGGGCGGCGGCGGCGGCGGCGCATTCCAGCCCGGCTAACAAAAGGCTGCCGAGGGACTCCCAGAGCCGGGAAACCCGCGCGGGGCGGAAGGGTTAACCCGGAGTCCGGCTCCCGCGCGCATCCTGGCCCCCGCCTCCCGTCGCTAGGAGACGCCGGAAGTGGGGGAGGGGCGGCGCGGGTGGGAATCTTTTTCGGGTGCCCGGGGGCGGAGGGCGGGGAGCGCGCGCGCGCTCGTCCGCCGGTCGCCGCGGTGACCGTCCTCGCGGCCCGTCGGCTCGCGCCCCGCCCCCGCCCCCGTCCCCGCCGTCCCCTCCGCGGCCGCGCGCTCCTCCCGGTTCCCGCCGCGGTCGCCGCTGCTCCTCCTCTCCCGGGCGTCGCGGCCGCTGCCTCTGCGGACTGTATGAGGAGGAGGAGGAGGATGTGAAGATGGCGGAGCTGCAGATGCTGCTGGAAGAGGAAATCCCGGGGGGCCGCCGGGCCCTGTTCGATAGCTACACGAATCTGGAGCGGGTGGCCGACTACTGCGAGAACAACTACATCCAGGTGCGCCGCGTCCCTCCCGAGCCGAGCGCGCCGGGGCGCTGGGGTCTGCGGGGCCGCGCCGGGGCGGGGCGGGCCGAGGGCGGCGGCTGGAGGGAGCGGGGTCGGTGCGGTCCGCGGTGCGGCGCGGCGCGCGTGTGGCGGTCCGCCTCCTCGCCTCTGCCCGGTCGCCCCCGCGCTCCTCGCCTGTCAGTGTTCGGGATGGAGGAGGAGGTGGAGAGTGGCGTTTTGTGTCTAACGGAATCTTGCTTGGATGGCAGGGTTGTGTGTGAGAGAGAGGGATAGTTTTCCTCCTGCCGGGTTCCTGTTCCTGCAAAGTGAATTGCCCCTTAAAGACCAAACGAAAATTCTTAACCCTAAGTTTAATTTTTGTTGTTGTTGTTTTAGGTTGTAAAGGGGACACGGTGGAACGCCTGTCGCTTATTACAAGTTAATGCCTTTTTTCTCCCTATGGAGAATGGGAAAATGCCTGATAATGAGCTGCTTTTCCTCCCCAATCCCCGTTAGAATAGGTAATTTTCCTATGGGAAAAGAACTATGACTATTTTTCACAATAACGAAAATGAACCACATGGTTTAGTCCCCCCACCCCCCATGATGATTGGTTTGGCACGGGACTCATAGTGTGTGTGTGTGTGTGTGTGTGTGTGTGTGTGTGTGTGTGTAGGAAGGTGAGAAGGTGGGGGAGAAGGCATTGGTGAGATGAGAACCAGCTGGTCATGATAAATGTAAAGATCTTATGGATTAAAACAACGCTTTAAAAATTAGCTCATGGTTTGCAAATCCAGTATCTCTTGTTCTTCGTAGGCCATATACTGAATTACAGATTCTGCCTCCATTTTTTTCCCACTGCCATTTAAAATTTCTGGCTAAAGTGGAAATGGAAGCAGGGTGTTTAGAACAGTTCCCGTTTTTAATGTTCTTGTTGCTACCCCCATCTCTGGTGATATCCGTAACATCGGTTATATTGGAAAGCATTCTCAACCCTTAGCATGAATTATATATTAAAAATGGTCTAATTTGTAGTTCTTAAGTTTTCTGAGGATCACATGACTAATCAAAGATAATGTTCTTAGATTTTATTTGATTATATATGTACTGAGCTTTATTACTGTGTTGCAAACATTTATGTTGGAGAATGAATTGGACATAATGGAAAAGAAGTGGTTGGAAGTGTACGTTCAGTAGGAAGAAAGTGTGACTTTGGTTAAAGATTGACTTCAAAGCAAAACCCTCATAAATACCTGTGTGTCAGTTGCTTTGTTAACAGAGCTGTATAGGAATGGTTAAAAGGTTTTATCGCTTAATTTTACCAATCTTTTTGCCCAGAACTGTTGATATCACACTCCTAGAGTCTTCAGGGATTTATAATGTAGTGCAAGAGGCTGATCTGTGAGTGAATTAATTCTATAGATAGTTATACAGTATACCGTCAGCCCTACCTGTTGGAGGGCCTTACATTGCAGATTCAATCAACTGGTAATTGAAAATATTCCCTCTGTATAAATGCCAACAGACCTTTTGTCATTCCCTAAGCGATACAGTGTAACAATTACTCACATGGCATTTGCATTTTATTAGGCATTGTAAGTAATCTACAGATAGTGGAGTGTGTATGATAGATAACATGTAAATATCATGTAGTTTTATGTAAATGACTTGAGTATCCAAAGATGTTGGAGTGTGTGTGTGTGTGTGTGTGTGTGTGTGTGTGTGTGTGTGTAGGGGTGTCCTAGAGCTAATCACTGTTGGATACCTAGGGACATGCCCAGAAAAATTAATTTATACCTTGTAGTGGATTGTGGGTAGGAAGGTCACAGCTGCTAGGAGAGGCCAGACCTAAAACCCTAAAGTGCTAGTTCTGTTGTCTTGTCTAGTACATTCAGATGAGAAACTGGGGGCTGGAAAAGGGATTGGGTTGCAGTTGTGGTCAACTAATGAGAAACAGGTTTGTCTGTTTGTGAACAATGAAGGTTACTGTAATTTTAGATTATAATTTCCACATAGAGGGAAAAGTACATGAATTGATAAAGTAGAAAAGTGAAAGATTAGCATTTGTCTTTTTATAATTATTTTAGCTGAAAGAGAAGAGTGTCAAAGTCAATATGTTATTTATTTACTTATTTACTTTTGGTGTTGGAGATTGAACTCAGGGTCTTGTACACGATAAGAGTACACTGTACTACTGAATTACACTCTTAGCCCACTGGAAAGGTAGAAATACTGATTTTCCAGAAGTGGATTTTGAATTCTGAGTTTACACTTTTTATTTCTCAGGTTGTCCTCTGTTGTGGGATTCACAGGGTTTATTACTGCTGTACTCTCCCAGGATGACACGTGATAAATAGGACTGCTGATAGTTGATTGAAGGACTGCCCAGCAGGGGTCCCTATTTATTTATTTGTGAGGCACTTTAATGTTTTAAATAAGTTTGTTTGTTGCTTTCCTAAAGTAAATCTGAAAAATCAATTTGTCCATATTTACAATTTTCTTTTAGGTAAGTGAAAGAAAGTTAGCGTTTCTTTTATTTGAGAATTCACACAGGTAGGTAGAAATGCGTGCATGCACACACACATTATGTATTCAGGACAGAATCATCCTGTAAGAGATTATTTGGAAAAAAATTAAGATGTTACCTTAATTTTCTGAAATTTTTTTTTGTAAACAAAAGAAAACATTTCACTAATAGCTTTCTCCATTTTCTCTTTGTCAGCATGGACACTCCATGAAATGTTTGTAAGGTGATAAAATATAGTTTATTATCAAAAAGTTTCATGAAAGTAATTAATAAAATGATGCAAAGATTACTTTTTTTTTGAGACAGGATTTTACATGTAGCACTAGCTGGCCAGGAAATCACTATGTAGACCTGGCGGTCCTTAAACTCACAGAGATCCTACTGCCTCTGCTTCTTGAGTGCTGGGATTAAAAGCTTCAGCCACCACACCTGGCAAACACCAAACTTTTTAGCTTAAAGAGTGCCATTAGAATACATGCTTAGTTTTGAAAAATTAATATAAAGTGACTAGATATTAAAGGAATTAAAAGTTACCCAGTTATCTTCAATACATATCTGGCATTTATATTCCTAATATTTTTGGTAAATGATGCTACATATTTTAGAGAAATGGATTTATAGTTTGTATTATATTTTAAACTTTTGAGATTTGTTTTTTTCTGAGAAGACACTTTTTGTAAGACAAAGTCTTGCTGTGTAGCCATCGTAATCTCCAACTCTGATTCTTTCTAGACATGAATCACAGTGCCCAGCTAAGAAACACCAAACACTTAAAGATGTTAGGACTGACTATCTTTTCTGGTTGTCACAGTACTTACAGGAGTAAATTTACTTGTGTTTGTGGTTTGAGTTTACAAATGGAGCGCCTTAAAAAGTACTTAAAAATGCAGACTGGGGGCACTGGGGAGATGGCTCAGAGGTTCCAGAAGTCCTGAATTCAATTCCCAGCAACCACATGGTGACTCACAACCATCTATAAAGAAGAGATCTGGTGCCCTCTTCTGGTGTGCAGGCGTAATGCAGGCACAACACTGTATATATTATAAATAAATCTTTAAAAAAAATGCAGGCTGGGTGTTGTTGTGCACATCTTGATTCCAGCACTCAGGAGCAGGGTCAGGTTGATCACTGGTTCAAAGCCAGCTTGATCTACATAGTGAGTTACAGGACAGCCAGTGCTATATAGTGAGACCCTGTCTCAAAAAGCAGAAACATAAACAAAAAGTCTTTAAAATTGCATGCAGAAGGCAACCATTGAAAGTATGAATTTAAGTACCGATAGTTACACCCTTCTTGATTTTTGTCTTTTGCCTAGAGGAATGAACCAAATCAGTGGAGACTGGTAGGCTTCTCCTCCTCTAAGAAAGTAATCCTAATTTCCAGGAGAAACATTTTGGTGAATGGGTTTTCAGTGACAGACCTGTCTAGATGGTCTTAATTAATCAAAACACAGAGTCAGATATAGGGGTGAAAGGGGTTAAAGCTGAAGATTAGAGAAGCAGAACAGGCAGACACTAGAGAGACCTTTTACCTCTGCCAATGCTCAGACTGAAAGGGCGATCCTCAGACTCCAACGAGCTCTTGTTTCCTCCTCTTATACCCCTCACCGCCCAGTCTTATGAACCCTGCCTGATGGAGGAAGGTCATTGGCAAATAAAGGCACTGCCCTGGCCCATTTTATTGGTTAGAGGATAGGTGGGAGGAGTAAACAGAACAAAATGCTGGGAGGAAGAGGAAGTGAGCTCAGAGACTCGACCACTTTCCTCTCGGGAGCAGACGCCTGAGAGAGACGCCATGCTCCTGGCTCCTGGGATGAAGCTCCGACCCAGGATGGACATAGGCTAGAATCTTCCCGGTAAGCGTACCTAGGGGCGCAACAACAGATGATTAGAAATGGGCTAAATTAATATGTGAGAATTAGCCTAGAAGAAGTTAGATAGAAATGGGCCAAGCAGTGCTTAAATGAATGCAGTTTCCGTGTAATTATTTCAGGCATAAGCTAGCCATGTGGGCGGCCGGGTGTGGGGGACGCAGCCCTGCCGCCCCATATTACTACACCTGCCTCCACCTCACTAGTGCTTGGATTAAAGGCACGTGATCCCAAGTGCTGACATCACCTTTGTGTGCATTCTATTTCTCGTTTTAGACAAGATTCAAGTTTTTGTATCCTAGGGTGTCCTTGAGTCCTGGAATTAAAGGCGTGGCATGTGCCACCACTCCCTGGCCTCTAGTGGCTTAACTCTGCACTCTGATCTTCAGGCAAGCTTTATTTATTAAAACATAAACAAAATATCACTACATTCCCCCTTTTTTGTCTAAAATAACAAAAGGCTATAACCGATATAAGAAAAACTATACAATAAGTACAATAACTATATACAATATATACAGGCAATAAGTATATCAACAATGTCTAGTTATTTACATTTGACAAATTCAGAGAAAATACTTCATATCTATCATATCTTGATGAGTCCAGAAGGTT